AGACGCATCAGAGCCTGGGACTGCAGAGCAGAGGGCTGCAGGTGACCACCTGCAGAACAAGAGGCAGCATGGCATTTTTTTCCTTTATTTAGGAACTGTTCCAGCATTAGGGAAAAGAAAACACATTTATTAAAAGGAGGTGCGCAGTCTTCCTACCCTGAAAACAATTTCTTTCTTTTAGTGAAAAGAAAGTTGGGCCAGGTTAAGTTTAGGTTGAACATTAGGAAGCACTTCTTTACAGAAAGGGTTGTTAAGCACTGGAATAGGCTCCCCAGGGAGGTGGTAGAGTTGCCATCTGGATGCATATAAAAACCATTTGGATGTGGTACTCAGGGACATGATTAAGTGGAGGGTTGTTCGTTAGGGTAGTATGGTTAGGTCATAGTTGGACTCAATGTTCTTCAAAGGTCTTTTCCAACCTGAGTGATTCCATGATTCTAAAGAATAATGTGCCAACACAACATTGGGAATATTTGAAGTCTGCATTTCTACAACTATCTTGTTAAACATTTTACTACTGTTCTCTGTTTAGGAGCCTGCAAAACAGGAGGGCAGCAAACAGCGTGCAATGAACAGCATTCAGTTTCTCCCAAAATCAATTATTACGAAGTTGTTGAGCCATTTTTTTCTTTTAGGCTATTTCTACTAATGTATCCAGAACCAAAGGCACCTCAACCGTGCACTTGTGTCCTTCCACAGTACATCACAGCAGTGAGAAGGGGTAACTGCTCACGGCATCACGTGGGGCTGGAAGTAAGATGGCATTAAGAGCAGGACTCAACACTGATTCAGCAGGGAGATTTCTTCATTGAGTACAGAGCTGGCATTTGCTACCTGGGATTAATGCAGTGAGATTGCTCAGGTAATTGAAAAACTGAATGGTTATTCTGTCTTCATTTGATTTCCTCTGGGGTCATGTTTTATTTACTAAATACAACCCAGACTTTTACAGTCTATCTCACTGAGTTCTCTTGATTTTTGGCAAAGCTAAAAAGGATTAGAAGCTCTGCTGCAATCTCATCTCCAGTGCCTGTACCATCTTAATAGGTTTCTTATGGCCAACTTCAGGTCACCTGCACTGTGAAGCATCCTGTTCATCACAGCCTCTGTCCCTAGCACTACTCTGAGTCTGACTCCTTTGCTTGCTGCTGGTTGCACTGCTGGGTCAGATCACAGCCTGCTGAAGTTTCAGACTCGCAGTCTGTATGAACACTGTCCTAGGAATGCCTGGAGTTTTCACTTTTACAAGGAAATACGTCACTGCGTGTAGATCCATCCAGATGGGTGAGGGTGTGCATGAGCAAATAAGGAAAAAGAAAGGAAGCATTCAGTGCTGGACTGATCCATGCAGCACTGATCTGGCTATAATAAGAAAGAGTCCAAGGCAGTTGCACATTCTAGCTTTGTAAATCTATGTCCTTATGTCAAGTACAGGTTTCTCACCCATGAGAGCACACACAGCTTTTAATTTACAATAATCTCATGAATTAAAACCAGGAGTTTGACAAATGTCACATAGCATTGGCAGATGGCTGTATCCCGCCTCCTTGCAGAGTTTTGGAGCAAAATATTCCTGAGCACTGCCAGCCCCATGTGCGTCTGGATGTGGATTTTTGGGTTACCTGTGGATGGCCAGAGAGGTATGGGTGCTCATGCAGAGGGTTCCCAATAAGGTAGCAGGATTTGTCCTGTCTTAGGTGAATGGTCCCAGCCCAGGTGGCCAAGGCAATGACTGCTCCTTCTGCCCCAATGGTTTTCAGAACTAATGTCAGACAACTCAGCCCTGCTTAGTGGAGGAAAGTTGCAGGGTTGTGCTGACGCTCAGGTGTAGTCATAGATTCACATTCAGTAAGGCACTTCTGTGCGAGTTAATTATAGATGCTAAGATAAGAGAAGGGCAAAGTCAAGAGTGTGTTTTATTCTGAAAAAGCATCTGAAAAAGTTTGCTCTTAATTAGAAGGAGATGCCTACTGGACTTAATACAACTCAAAGAGGGCAGTTAAGGCTCTAAGAAGCTTTCTGAGCAGCTGGTAGCTCTGGGCAAATGCTGGAAGAAATGTTGATAAGGCTCTGTCAGAACTAAGTGTGGGTTTCCCAGCTTTTTTTGTGTTCTGGCTGCCCTGGGTCATCATTTCTTGGACAACTCTTGAAATGAGTGGGTTTTGTCACTGCAGCTCTTGTAATTGCTGCCTGCAATTTGCTTCCATTGATCCAGCCACACCTCCTCCCATCTGATGGAAGAAAAACCCATCTGCCCGAAGACTCTGCCTCATCCATCATGCTGTCTTTGACAGTGGCCTGTAGGAAATGAAATGTCTACCTGCATATAGCAGTACTTCCTTCTTTCACACTGTAAATGTCTGTGTCATAATGGCTTTGTGTCAAATGGCTCTTGGTGAAGTCCTCTGGTCTGACTGTTGAATTCTCAGTGTATGGGGAATACAGTCTCTGGGCAGCTTTCCTTTATCTAGCAGCAGTGTGCTAAATGCAAAATCAGGCACATGGAATCAGTTTCTGTGCTTTTCAATCATCCCAAGTTGCATACATAGGCTCCCTCAAAAATAAAGGTAATAGGCATCCAGCTCCTTAGCCCAAGCTGCTCTACAGAACTGGTCACTAGCAACATGAATGGCTCTACAGAAGGACATCATTCCTTTCCCCTAGAAGGAAGCTAGAAATCACTTTCCTGTTCCTCTCCATGTCAATCTGATCTGAAATATTTCCTCTCCCTCTGAAGTGTTGGAGATTTTGGAAGGCTGGGAGCTGCTAACAGACAGATCTACACTGCAGTCAAGTGCTTTGGAGAATGAGCATCTTGTAGCTGGTGCTATAGCTCATGTGCATGGTGCCTGTTGGGATCCACAAGGTGATTCCTTGCTGGAACACATGTTAACTGTGTAGACAGAGGTTGTATAGCTGGGGAAGGACAGACATTTGCCAGCATCAGTATAGTGAGCAAAGCTGATGTCCAGAACCTTCATTAATATGCTCATCAGCAGGAGCAGACACCACAAAAATTAAAGGGAAAAGGAAAAAGAAACAACTTCAAAGGCAGGTCTCAGCCACAGGCCAGCTAGCTGGGTATGGGGCAGATGAAAAGCTCAGGCACAATAGGGGCGCTGGGATCAAAGGCACCTCCAGGAGCTGTAATTGTGCCTGCCTAAATTGAGCCCTCACAATAGGCAAACTCCATGGCTACATCTGTGAAATGAAATGTCACACTGCACGGGATGGCTCCTCACAAAAGGTGTTCCTTCACCCAGAGCGTGGCAGCACACATACGCTGGCATGGCAGTAGGGAGAATGATGATGTTTGTACAGAGCCAGGCAGAGGGCTTGATTTATATTCCGTCTTATCTAGCTTTGCTCACCATTCTGCTTTTCCCACACAATTCTCATCTCCGTGTTATCTGAGAACCTTGTCTCTCCCTGCACCCTGCAGTGTCTACAGATGGGAGAGTCACTGTGAGCCCTGCTTGTGGGTTCAGCTGGAACCTGCTGGGTTCACCTGCTCCAAAACTTTCCCTTTGCACTCTGCTGCAGAAGAAATTTTCTCTGGTATCCAATCTACCTCTTGGATTAGGTCAGAAACAGGCACTGGCACACATGTCCACGGAGCATTTGCTGTGACAACAGTTTCAGAAGCACTTGGGAGGTCTCTACAGAAAGCATTTCTCCCATGGCCTGTGGTGTTGCTCCCCTGGGGAGTGTTAAATAGCGTGCACAGTGCTTGGGGTGAAGGAAGGGCATTTCTCTGGAAGATGTTTTTGCTCATCTGCTTTTTGATCCATCATCAAGTGGGAAGATTTGTTAATTATTCAGTCTCCGTAATTTGAATCTGTTAATAATGGAAGAAGTGGATATTGCTGTAAATTAAAATCAATGGTTTGCTTAACTTCTTTGATCAAATTTGAGCGCAAGCACGCTTCTGTTTAATAAGGCAGAGATTGATGGGTTTGCTATTACAGGGAAATGAGATTCAGACAAAATGATTGTTGGTTAGTAGGAATGCAGAAATCGCTTAAGAAAAGGAATATAGAATCACTTAGCAATACTAACATGGAATGAATGCTTAAAACCCCCGTGAATATATGTAAAAACCTCTTCTGAGTAGTTGTTAATATTTTAAAAATGGTGTAATTATTTTTTTTCAAGCTCAAATTCTACTTTCCTGCCAACACCCCACCTTTTCTAACTGACCTCAAGTGCTTCTGCATGTTTTATGCAGCAATTAAGCAACAGATCAGCCCTGTCGGTATGGCTGTGTACATCACCTCTCTGGTTTCTGTTACAGGTCACAGCTCAACTTCCCCACAACTGTAGAGGGATAAAATGACCAATGAACAGCAGAGAGCACCTTGGGCACTGCAGACATCATATGATGAAGGAGACAGAAAAAAGAGCCGGGGGGGATAAACAGGACTGCTCTTCTGGGGCAGAGGAGATGATGCACAGAGCCTGAGTGGCCAGAGAGCCATTTCCTGACCACAAGAGAATGACTCTGCCCACAGAGGTGACATGTAGCATCTCCTGGAGGCAGCTGGGCACCTCCTGAGCACCTCACAGCAAAACTGCTTGTGTAATTGAGTCAGAGCCCACAGCTGTGAGCATTACCAGGTTCCCATAGACCAGAGCTTGCTCCTCGATTTAGTAGTGGCCTCAAGGAAAGTGGGGAATACTGGAGGAGCCCGTCTGCTAACTGCAGCCAAGCAATGGCTTCTCACTCTGTAACTCCAGGTGACAGGAGATTTCATGCAGGCCTTTCACCACAAGTAAGCAGTTATTTGCCTCTCCTCTTCCCTACTCCCCTGGTTATTCCTAGGCATAAAAGCAGAGGCTGATTGTTAAACACTTAAAAATCAGAATATGTTATTATATGAGTAAACCTAACAATACGTCTCAGCACAGAAGCATGACAAGAGGGAAGACATTATTTGATCTATGGCTTTCCTGCTGTTACCGTATTCTTTTCTACTGCCACCTAAAAATATTAATCAGAAATCAGTGTTAATGTACTAGTAGCATATAATTTCTCTTAATGCATTGCAAATCGCTGCCTTCACTTCAGACTGTGCATATGGCAAGTCCACACCCAGCAAAATCAATGATGTATTTCACTTCTGTTTTAGAAACAGATTGAAATTAATTAAAGTAATGAAAAGCCACAAATAAACAGCAATCCAGGTATCAAAATAACTTATTTTTTTAACAAAGGACACGGCAGCACTGGGGTGGGCAGGAAGGCATAATAAAGGCTTTTCCTTTCATGCTGAACCTCAGAAAAGTTGTGCAAACAAACTTGCTTTCACTATAGTGTGGGAATTAAGCTGTACCCTATTGCAGACAGCAGCAAGCCAAGAAGGACCATGAGCCATGAGCTGCAAAACAAGGGCTTCAAGTCACCTCCTCTTGGACAAAGCTCCTGTGCACATCACTGGTACCACACCTCCGCTTCACGCAGCATCTCCTGCAAGAGCACTTCAGAGGATTCAGTGCTTCAAACAGTTGATAACACTGATTAAAATCAACTGTCAAGATGAAGGGAGGAAGACAGGCTATTTCAGTGTTTTAAACACCGCTACGTGTGGGCTGTGCAGTCAATCAGGTGCGTGCCAGGAGTGCTGTGCTTGGGAGCAGGTGTGCACTGGGCTGCCTGGGTGCTGTGGGATGGCACCATGCATTGCAGGCACAGGGGTCCCAAGTAACAACCCCAGAGGAAAGGAGCTTCCTGACGGTCCATGCAATCACTTCAGTTTGCCTTGGCCTGCCTTCCCTGGATGACCAGCCTGGGACTGAAAACTGACTCTGAGCAATGCAATCCTTTATCATCATCTGCATACAGAGGAAGGTCTGAGATCTGGGCAGCATGAAAAACTTGTAACGTTGCGTGGAAACATTGCTGAGCTAGGAAACAAACCGTAACGCCGCCAGGGTGCTGCCTGCACCTTGATGGCCTCAGCCCTGACAGGGCAGCCCAGCTGGCAGCACACAGCCACAGCCATTGCTATTCCACATAAAATGAAGGACAAAAATCCTGGCTCAGCTCCTTCTCAATCAGCAGATCAAGCATTACATAATTTACACCCACATATGAGAGGATATTGCCACGAGGCTGATGCATGTAGGTATAATCCTTAAAAGCCATTAGGCTGTCACCTAAAATATAAGCTAAAATTAACTTACGAAATTAGCACTAGATTAAGATCGTGGTGTTTGCATGGAGGAAGGACAGCTGCTGCCACTGCTGCTTGTGATCTACTGACAAATACCATAAGCCATCTCCTGTGCAAAGCACTGCACAAACACGAGCAATCATTGGACCCCAGCACTTGTTCTCCTTACATTCTGTTCCAACTTTTCCCATTTAACTCCCAATGTCCCCTTCAAACACTGACTATTCCCTTTTTATTTCCACATACACATAATAATGCTGTTTGAATATGTGGGGTCTGCTTATCATAATGAGGTTAGCAAACACTCTGCAACTAGGAAAAAGCAAGTCTCTGGTTTAGGGACAAGCAGGAACTTAAGCACACTATGAAGTGCAGTAGAGATGTTGTAACAATCATTCTCCTTTGAAAATGCTGAATAAAACCAAAGATCAAACACACCTTTGATCAGAAATTTCTTGATCAGTTTGCAATTGGAATTGTTCCTCAGAAGGAAGACTGATGCACCTTCCAAACAATGTGCGTCAGATGAACAGGGAACAGGAGATGATGAAAGAAGGACAAAAATAAACATGGCTTTTGTTGTACAGTCTGTGTTAGTGATGTGGTCATACCTCCTCTAGCATGGGAGAGAGCTCAGTAATCCAATTTCGGCTCACATTAACTACACTGAGTGTCCACATTTCACATGCTCACAGAAATCTGTGCGACACTTCTTGCAGTGACCGGCTGCAATAGCAGGGCGTGCTGAGACTGAGCGAGCACAGCTCGCAAGGATGAGCTGCTGCTCCTGGGCTAAAAGCATTTGTTTGCTCGGCTTTTTATTGCTTCTGCCATTAAATTGAAAAAGGGAGTCCTGCTCCATCCACACACATGTGTTTCCCAAAGATAACTCTCGAAACCCCATAACAGCAGTTCTTAGTATTTATCAGCATTTAGAGTTTGCATTTTCAGACCGGGAAAAACCTTTGCTCCCATCTTTGCTGAGAGTGTGCAAATTGCAAAACTTTCAGATTAAAAAGCATGAAAATTCTCCCTCTACTCTTGTAAGCAATATCTGCACTCAGGGAAATACTGTTCAATGAGAGGCATTCAGTTAAGCCAGTGGGAGAGTCCTGGCATCAGGCTGTACATGAAAATATCCAGGCTGTGTACTTTTCTCCCTGTTTGTTTACACCTTGAACAATAAAAGTGAAATACAGCTATTGGCTGTCTAGCTTCTAATATTTCCTGGACAGCTTCCCAGTTTCAAGAATCTAGAGAAACAAGAGAGTTTTTTGCTGTCAACCCTGCTAATGTAAGTCTTGGCACAGATGAGATAATACATACATTGATTTCTGGAATATATTTCATTTGAGAATGTCCTCAACACCCCTCGTGGCTCTCAGCCACGTGGAAATCAGCTTGCTCATTCACTGAAAACAATAGCAGGAAGTTCTTTCCTTTGAAGACAGCATGTGACAGTGTCCCAATGAGCTTTGTGAAGGCCCAGCATGGTGCAGTTCATTTATTCACCTTCTATGGTGCGTGTTCCTTGAAATACCTAGCTGAACGATTGCCTTCTTCCTCCAATCCCTTCACCAGTACTACAGTTTCTGAATTACTCAACCAGTCAGCAGTACCCCAAGACAGAGCAGATCAGCCAGTCTTGATGAAAGTCATCCTTAAGACACCATTGCTCTGCTGTCAGCGTGAGCTGCACTACAAGCACTGGAGTTCAGTAATGCTGATTCCAGAGGAGGCAGCCTGAAACCTTCCACCCCTAGAGCATACATCCATCTACTCACTTTGTATGAATCTCACTTTTGCTTTTAGGCTCCAGATAGCTAAGCAAAGGATGTGTAAAGTCCTTGAACTGAGAACAAAGCACTTTGATCTCTTGTTTCATTTAAATCTCCTTCTATGTCCCCAGAAAAGTACACATTCTGAATATTCTCCACAAATCCCCATCAGCTTTCTCACTTCAAATAAAACATTTGAAGATGTCCACCTGGGCAAGCAGCACAGAGCAGAGAAAAAGCAATCCGATTCTACTAATTTGCTTCAGGTTGCTAACTGCACACTTACAAAACCTAACGTGTAGAGGCCAAAGAAAGAAATGAGCAAAGGTCCGGAGGGCTGAAATTTGATAAAGTAGAATGGAAACACAGGAACCACATGAGGGTTTAAAGTCCTGTGGAAGTTGAAGAATCTGCATGTTGGTTGTATTGCATATGACCAGATATGTAAAGTTTTGAGGCAAATGGAGGAGAAAGAGATTGGCTGCACTCAGCTTCTTAGATACACCTAGATAATGATACCACAGCATAGTTCTCAAGTACCACTGGACCAGCCAGAAAAGAGGCATAGAGCTCAAAAAAGATAACAAGCAACTAGCAAGCATTCATTTTTTGCGGGCAATTTTGCCATGTCAGAACAGAGAAACTGGATCCCAACCCAGGGTCTGCAGATCCCTACCAGCACTGAGCAGCCAAACTGCTCTGCCAGGGGCTGCTAGGGAAGATGCTCTCATCTCTTAAACTCTCGTCTGAGGGGGCTGCAGAGTGGTTGGCAACTTAATAGTCACAAAACTCTTAATATAGTGATGTTTCTGGAGAGCACTTTCACTGAGGGTCAGTACAGAAGGTTATGTTATGTTTTGGAATTCGTTTTTTTGGTCCTGTGAACTTTCTTACTCATTTCAGTAGCTGAGCGACACTAATAGCCACATCAGTTTATAGCCCTTAGCTCCAGTGGAAACCTGTGTTCCACAACATGTCACTGTGAGCAGTTCTAAACAGATCCTCACACTGCTGAAAGGAAATGGCAGCAACAAGGGCTCTGAGCGTGTGTGGCTTACAGGGAAAAGTACAAACAATACAAGAACACTGTACTGGACTAGACCCACTGTGTTGGGCTCAGGAAAGCATACTGAGCAGTAGCTGAACTGCAAGGAACAAAAAAAAATCATGTTTCATTGTAGCTGCCAGCCCTTCCTGAGAATCACACCCCCATTATGGCCCATAACAATGGAAATTGCAAATAATGGCCAAATCTATCCCAGCTGTTTGGGAATGGAGAACAAGTATGTTCCTCCACTTTAGCACAATGCAGAATACCACAACAGCAGTTTCATCCCAAGGAAGTAAGGCAATCAGTTAATTTTCCAAGGATCTCTACCAGCAAAGAGGACGTGGATATCCTGATGCATGAGT